CGCCGCCTCAAATTGCCTATCCTCTTTGTGGCGGCCATATTTACAGAAACATATTTAAACTTCATGTTTAGGCTGATGGCTTTGCCAAAGCCTTAATAAAAAATAAATAAAAAAAAAAAAAAGAGTTCTAATGTTTTTAAAAATTATTGTAAAATTGAGTTGTACTTCGGGATTTTGTTTTGTTTAAGTTATGTTAGGAATGTCTTAATTCTATTTTAAGCTGATGCTTTTTTAAGTAACGCTTAACAAATAAATGACAATAAAACTGTTAGCTTGTTTTTATAATAGTTTTTTTAGTTCGCAAAAAAATAACAAAAATGAGTGGCAAAAGTAATTGCCTTGTACGAGATACTCATTTTAAAATCGTGAATGCTGGAGAACTATGGCAAGTAAGTGTTATATGATTGTTAACAACCTTAAAAGGCTTTGTTGAAAAAATATTACAAACAACAAAACAACCTTATTTTCAGCGAGAAAACAGTCTTTCGTCTATTCCAACGTTCAGCCAGAGTCTCGATAGAGTTTTAGGCAATAATGGATTATCAACAAATACTTTCATGGAACTTCTCGGTTTACCTGGTTCTGGGAAAACTCAACTTTGGTAAATGCTTCTTTACAACAATAATATATATAATTTATATGGTATTTAATGCCTGGTGAACTTTACTACTAAAAGTTTTAGTTTCTTTACTTCGAGCTATATCTAACTGGCTGAAATGACTAAATCTCAATGGTGGCGATTGTTGGGCAATAATTGTGAAGTGCCAATGTATATTGAGCCAATATACATATCTAACTATAATAATATGCATGACAATGGTATCGTGTAATGGGCTATTGTCTGCAACTCGACACCCAGGCGCCTATTTTGAATGTGGTAAATGTGGGGTCCTGTCTTCTCTTTTTCCATGCATGCTCTGCATAGAGGGCTGTTCGTATGCATGACAATGTATTTAGTTATACACCTGCTGTTTCTATGTCATATAAGTGTATTTCTGTTACTGGAACTGCTGCAAGGTCATAGCACTTTCAGTGAGAAGACAATAAGTTCAGTGTGTGAAGGATTCACAATAGCACAGTGTATACTCGAATTATGTTTGTGCTGAGGCAAAAATTGCAAATAAAACTATTTTTTTAAATTAATTACAATTTCAAAGTAGACGATAAATAATTGAACTTAGATTATGAATGTCACAATATTTGATGTGCCAACAAAGACGTGTGTTAGCACTGCTGTCATATTGTCTTCGCCTACAGGGTTGATACGCCTCACGCAACACATTATTGTATTGAGGTTGTCGCTTAATCAGTTTGTTATTTATACATATATTTATTTGTTATTGTCTTTATTTATTCTCTAAATATTTATTTATATTATTAATTACATATTGTGTTTTCCATTTGTTTTAAGTATTATGTATTGTAGTTAAAGAGTCTGTACCTATGTATTTGTATGGAATAAATAATATTCTGTTCTATCTTATTATGTAAATTGCAGCTTACAATTTTGTGCATCAGTGCAAATTCCTGAAACACTAGGAGGATTAAATGCTGAGGCTTTATATATAGACACAAACACCAACTTCACTATCTGCAGATTCAAAGGTATGTCTCTATCAATGATTGGTTGGTTCAATATTTTTTTATGACGAAATCCATTGACTTACAAATAAATGGACGACGGGTCTAATACAAAAACTATGACAAAAATGTCCCAAGTCAACCTATTTAATCATAGTGACATGTAAAGGAATATGAAAAAGCTAATACGTTGAATTTAAATTGTAATGTCATCGCAGTACTGTCTAATTTTGCTTGCTTCGCTGTCAGTCGAACAAACGAAGACTAAAGCGTGAATGACGCTATGTATACGATTTTAACGCCCTATAAGTTCGGACACTTTTTAGCGCGGACCCGATGTCCATATAATTGTAAGTCAATGACGAAATCTCAATGAAATGAAACTGTTTCATTTCTTTTTAATTAGTCAGTTTTTTGTCTAATTGAGGCCACATATTTTATAGGAATTAGTTTAAAAGTGTTGATGCTTACAAATATCCTTAAATTACATTTTAGTAACCTGATCGCCATAAAGCATCAGTGGCTTCTATTCTCTTCACTTTTCAAAATTGTTTGTAAGGAAATTCTTTCACACAAATGTACAACTAAAATTATTTATTTCAGAAATACTCTTTGCGAGTCTAGACAGATGTCGGAAATTATTGAGTATGCCATTAGATTTCAGAGAAAATGATGCCTTGAAAAAACTGCACTATGTCAACGCATTTGGATTAACTAAATTCTGTGCATTCTTGCATAGGCTTCCTAGGTTCATTGTTCAACATCCTAGGGTAATTATTAATTGTAATTTCTGTGCCATGTTTTATTTTGTAACAACAGTCTTATCAATAATTATATACTGCTAACAATGTCACCCATGGACTATTTTAATCATTATTATGTTGCACCTAAATATTAAGTTGTTAAAATTAAATGCTACGTATTACTAAGAAGATAGGTAGATAAAACTTGTGTATTAAATTCGGGTAAATAGCTTTAGGTTAGGCACTACAATATTTTTATGCCAGCTTTTCTCACTTTTACAATCCCTAAAACGGTTGATACGCCATCCATTGAAACTGGTTGGAGAGTTTTAGATAACAATCTTCCTTATTTCTTACTTGTCATAGAAATCAAATGTGTTTATGGCTTTCCATCCTCCTCCCTGTCTATTTCAGCAGTGGAGTCTTGCAAACAGGAGTGCATTCTTGGGACACCAACACTAACCTTGTTACATTGTACAATGATATATTATTGCACACAATTTGTGGCATAACCTATGACAATAGTACTGTAATACTACAATACTTATATAATATTTTTAGCCCTTTAATGATTGTACATAATTGAAATAGATACGTAAACTCAAATATTATTATGCAGTCAAGTTATTTCTAGAGTTTAATGCCATTTTATTTTACAGATAAAGCTAATAGTGATAGATTCAATAGCTTTCCCTTTCAAAGACGGGATGGATACCCGACAGAGAACAGGATTGCTCTTCAGATTAATGGCAGAATTGCAGCAGATAGCTGTGGAAAAACAAATTGCTGTAAGCATTTCATTTTAATCTTCTCTACATATGTATATGCAAAAATGTTTTTGAAGCTTTTGTGCACCTCTAAGTAACGTTTCCTAAGAACGCATACCTTGTAAGTGATAATTAATGTACATTAAAACTTTATGCAATGTCTTAACCCCTTAAGCGGAAGCTGCGGAAATGATTCAGCATTGCCTTATTAGGCGTTATCCCTTTGTGTAATAAATGTGTGGGTATAAGATTAGTAAAGATTCAGGTACTTATAGGTATGTAACTGAAATCAATTGACACAAAATTAAACTAATACAATAGGTAAGGTTAATATTTTCATTGCAGTCAACTCAAGTGGCTTCACATTCTCCCAGTCTCTGCAGGAATTTGCATACTGTCTCAGTTCTCTATTATATTCTGCACAACCCTATGTCTCCCGGGTATCTGAATGAGCGTTTCAGCTTTCTCAGATTAAGCCCTGTCGCTCTCTCGTTAGGTCCCACTTATCTTTTCCAACATTCAATTCCGGTTTTTATTCTCACTCCTTCACTGTTCATGCAGACAGACTTTGGAATGCACTTCCCATCATGATAGTAAATTCTTGGCAATCTTCAAAATGAGAGTTAAGGAGCACTATTCCATCCATTATATAGGTATCATGGTACGAAATATGTGTTTACCTAAGTATTTATACAGTTTCAATAATTACATTTTTTTTTATTTTTTGTTGTGCACGTAAACCCGTTATTGTAATTATTGTCTCCTGTATCTAGGTCTGCAGGAAGAAATTTCTGTTAGAATCTCCTCAGCTTTTTTATGAGGCCCATAGTAAGTGACCATGTCTCAGAGCCATAGGTCACCACTGGCAACATGCACTGCTGGAAGACGTTTGTCTTCAAGGACTGCGGTATTGAGGACAAGAAGACGTTCCGGAGCCAGTAGTACTAATATATAACAGTACTAATATAGTTTTTAATAATAGCATAAGAATTATTTTAAAAAGTTTTGTCTATTCAACCCTGATTCCCTATTCACCCCGTTTGACTGATCATTCCAGGTAGTGTTAACAAACGAGATGAGTACTCGGCTGGGCCTGTCGAGCGGCTCGGTTGTAGGCTCGCTGGGTGATGCTTGGGCGCACCGCAGCAACAAGAGGCTGCTTCTCTGCCACACAAACGGACAAAGGACTGCGCTGTCACTTAAGGATAACAGTGCTGTTAATGCTGTTGGAACATTCCAGGTTTGCTCCTGTTTCACTGCAAATTGGATGCTTGTAAGCAATAACGTGTCGCCCAACGTTATTGATCATAGTTTTCATTTTGGAACAAACTATCAAAAACAGAAAAAAATTGTATTGGTGCTATTTTCGCAAAACTATGGTCTTGTTGATTGACACGCTTTTGCTTATCAGCATCCAATTGCGGCAGAACGGAACGGAAGCGAATTTTTGTAACGATACTGTACATACATAATGAACTTTTGTGGTCAATTGTGTAACGTACAAATTACATAAAAGCCAAAATTTTCCGCGGAAAGCGCGACATTCATTAAAGCTACAATATCGTTACAAAAATTTACTTTCATTTCGTTCTGCAGCAATTGAGCCTTACGACTTATTTGCCGCGATAGGTTTTTTTTATGACATCCAGTGACGGGACGAATAATTGCCTCCGTGCTCGAACGGTTACCATGCCGGACTACCACGCAGAGGTCCCAGGTTCGATGCCCGGGCCGGGAGAAATATTTGTATGACCTACATTTATTTCTCCCGTGCGTTTGGGTGTAATTGTGGTTGTCTATGTGTATGTCCATGGCACCCGCGACACAGGATTTCCCTAGTGCGGGGCTATGTTGAGTGTGTGCGTTATTATTATTTAAAAAAAAATTCTTAAGTATAGATTAAATTTCCTTTGATTTTTAATTTTGTCAGAATTTTATCTCACATGCAATCCGCTTGATGGACACATTGGATGGCAGCCAAAATAAATAACAGATTTCCCAGAAGCAATGATTTAGTAATCTTGATACTGTGCCAGCACTATCGGCATATTGAAATGCATTTTGAAATAATCCATACTAAAACATCCCTGTGATGCTTATGGAATCAGTTCAGTGTAAGTCGGTCAATTCCAATGTCACAAGTGTCTTTCTCTGAAATCATGTAATGTAGCAAGTCGAAAAGTATCACACACATAGAAACAGTCTGGCCTCAGCCACATTATTATTTTATTATTTGTTTAATTAATTTTAGAGGGTATTTTTTTCTTCCCTGTACATTTAACAAAGTGATTTACAGTCTTCGTTGTAGGAAAGTTGCGAGACCTAACTGTAAATAAAAATAATTTTCTTTTCAGATAACACTGGAGGGTATAAGGGATATAAATTGAAACAAACGAGTGAACATACATACTTTAATCATATTGTAAACGTGTATAATATAGTAAAACCAAACTACAGCACCAATAAATATCATTTTCACAAAATATATCAAGCATTTATTTTACAGTTGTACAATGTAGAGGCAATTTTATTGGAACATTGACGCAAGGCGAATTCTTAACATTTTATAGGTATTATGCTCTAAGACACGAGAGTGAGTAAGACGCGTTTGTAGTCCCCTTTCGTATCATCCTGCAAAATATATCATTGTACTTGTAACCAACAATTTTAAAATTAATTTGGAATAACTGCATGCAAAAGCTCAACAGTTAAATATACGCTAGAAACTTAAAAATAAACGAAATTAAATAACAATTTTGCAGGATTAATAACAAAGTGCGACTAGCACATTCCTGAAGTCACCAGTTAGGTCTTCCTGTAAACAATATTGAAAAAAAGCAATACTAACACGTTAGAATAATTTAATTTATGAAACTGGCCCATTATTTTGAGATTGTTCAAATACACAACGTGCAATTCTAAGCATGAGATTACATTTACGAGATTATAAAAAAATAAAGATTCCACAGCTTATAATAATTAAGTAAATAAATGTCTCCAAAATGCATTACTGTATAGTGTAACCGTATACAATAAAAAAAAATATGTTATATTTATTCACACAGCACTTGTTACTGTAACATGGCTACGACGACTCGTAATACTGAGTTTTAAGTATTTAGCTCGTTGTGGCTTTAGTAACACATCGCAGAAAGGAGTCGGCCCAGCGGACCTCCAATTTCGTCCTGAAAAATGGCAATAACTACTGGTAAATTCTACATTCGAGCGAGCGTTATTCCGCTACGAGCCCTCATGCACACGCCACAATTTAAAGCAGTTAAGCAATAACGTGTCAACCCACATGATCACAGTTTTGAGAAAATGGCGTCAAGGATATTTACTTGGTTTGACTAATGATTGTCAACTGTTTTTTTTTGTACATTTTTTTAATATTTGTAGGTTTCAAAACGTTTAGTTTATGTTTGTAAAATGTAGACGAGACAACAACCTTCAATTTAGCATTAATATCTCAATTTTCGAATTTTTGTGAGTTAACACGTATTGCTTATCAGCATCCAGTTAGCTACTGTGCAAAGAAAGTTACATGACATGAGTAAAGGAAGCGTAATATACAGATCTTTGTGAACGAAATTTACACCCGAGTTTTATAATTCCTAAACGATACGACAAGAACAGCATACCAATCTTGTGTTGTGACCTTCCAACTGACTAGCTAAAAAGTTGTTATGCAAACAATGTGTGGTTGACAAGCGAATGGGCAATGATGTACTCGGCGTATCGACCTAACAGATCTACAAAACCTAACAATTGACAAACAGAACTTATAATTAATCAAACTACAAAGGTGGTTATTTTCCTTGCCGTTCTGATCACTTCGATTCCGAAAATCTACTCGACTAGTGTCAATAATGCCTTCTTGTAATCCCCGGAAGTGTCGTCCTGTAATCAAAATTTGCAACTGAACGCCTGTGGATTTTTCATAAAGCTCGGTATCAATTGGGTTTAGCAGGAACATTTTGTCACATTTAGTCCTTATAGTTAGCAAAACAATTTTGAACTCGGAACTCAATGACATGCGCAGTAACCTTAGACGCGAGTACATGTCTAAGTTCGTCCGGTTTTTATGCCAACCTGTATTTTCCCTAACCGTGTTTTATACGTACATAAACCATACATAGATCTGTATACATTATTGTGTTATAATTTTATTATATATTGGCGAAGAAATGACGATGAACAGAAAGATATATGATAATTATTATAGATAGTTTTCGCTTTTTATAGTATCTCATGCTTATTTGAATTAATAAGGCCATTAATAATAATAATAATAATAACAACGCACACACTCAACATAGCCCCGCACTAGGGAAACCCTGTGTCGCGGGTGCCATGGACACATACATAGACAAACACAAATTACACCCAAACTCACGAGAGAAATAAATGTAGGCCATACAAATATTTCTCCCGGCCCGGGAATCGAACCCAGGACCTCTGCGTGTCAGTCCGGCATGGTAACCGTTCGGCCACGGAGGCAGTTAATTAATATCTTTAATAATTGCGTTTTGAAACAATCTTAAATCTTGTGGGTCAGCTTCTATTGAAATATTCGTTATTTTAAGAAAATCGGCATGCTGTTATATTAAATACAATACACGGAATTCTAAGTTTAGTATTTGCAGTGCTTAAAATAATGTACATGTGCGTAATTAATGTAAGATGGGTTAGATGGCATAATAGGTAACTAATTAATGGAGGTTGTATGTTAGTTTATAAAGTAGACAATACACTTGCACATACTATATACATATGTTAATAGAGATCTTTCTAATCCACTACAAACTGATTCAGAACTTTGAAATCCATTTTTTGAGTAAGCCAAAATAAATAATAAAATGGTGGTCTAAACACAAAAGTTTATATTGGCAACACTAGGCGCTATGGTGCTAAGACAAAATGTCTTATAAAGGTAATATGGACAGAGGTGTTGTTCTCATTCAGCTTCGCAAATACCATAACCGTTAGTATTAAGTAACACCTGGTTCTACATTTGTTAAAGGTATAGGAAAGGTACTTACAGCGATCCAAGTATCGAGGGATTTTCCGTATTTCTCCAGGAAGGCCTGTTTGATGTCTCCGAGGTCGATTTCAGAGCGACTCACGATGATTCTGATTAGCGTCTTGTCGTTGGTGCCGAGGCCCTTCATTGAGTAGTACAGGCGCTCAGCGAAGAAACCCACTTTGCTCTTCACGCATTTTACTGCAAGTTAATGAGACTTAAGTTTAAAACATTATAATGCTTTCACTGTTGTCTTTAATTTGTAGCGTTTATACATTGGTGACGCGGGATAATATTATCATTGTTCGTGGGCTGAAATGTCACAGTTGCTCTCGGCGCAGGACGGAAAGTGGCCTTCATACCAAAAAGTATTTTTGAGTCCTTATAACACAATTAATAATTGCAATTCAACTGATCTTGGCATTTATTAATGATTATTTCTTTAAATTTAAATGCAAATTGCGTGTTCCTACAACTTAATGGTTTATTTTCATTGTTATTTCTTTTATCTTTCACAAAATATTTAATTAATGCAATTGCACTATCATATTCACATCAATCAACTATTTATTAATATTAGTTACTACATTAACCTTAGTACATTGAATAATTGGATTGTTAATATTTAAAATTGTTTTTATTTTATTATTATTTTTGTATCTGGGTATATATTGAGTTATGTGGATATCTGTAATTGGCTTACACATAAGAACTAACTGTGCCTCTCACATGTTGTCTTTTATTCTTATTTTTTCTGTGTAATCTGTTGGTGTTCCAAATGAATAAATAAATAAATAAATTTAAAGGGCCGTTTCCTCATGATCCTACTGGGTGCTCTTAATGGTAGGAGCACGAGAACTATTATGTCCTTATGCTCCTATAGTGACATCGTATCTAATATGTACACTGAACTAGAATAAAAACAAATCAAAATAAAGTCAAAATTTTTTATGTTATAGTTAAGAAGAAAATCACTGCGCTCTTTCGTAAGGCAGGTTCTGCTGAGAAGAATTATCAAAAAACTCTAATTTTTACTTGTAGTTTCTAGGGATTGAGTTTATACTATACTATACTATAGTACTACACATTATCGAAACGTTAAATAATAACTGACTGCAACTGTTGAAATAACCCAAAAACGTCGGTTATGTAACGTTAACCACTGCCCAAGGTCACAGTAACATTAGTCTAGCAGGAAATAAAACAATGCTCGTGACCTTGGATAGCAGACTTTTTGCACTACAGTCGTTTCTATCGCAGTTGGTAAGTATAAAACTAGACAGATCAGACAACTTTTTAAATTTAAATTCTAAATATGAATATTATAGTGTGGACTTTACCGATAGCAAGCATTCCTTTCTCGACGCTTCCAGAGAACTCCTTCTTGATGGATTCTTCGATGTCCTTACCGGTCAGCGCCTCGAATTCAGCGAAGATCTACAAACATATATATTTTTTTCTCTCTGTGCTTTGGAACGAGTGCGTATGATATTGTGCGGGGAGGCTGACATCCATCGGCGTTGTCAACCAGATTGAGAAAATCATTATAAAAATTGGCAAGTCAATAGTACCCAACGTTATTTTCATGTACGAGAGGGCTAATAAGGGTGTAGTCCCACCTTTGTCTTGCCCAATGTGTGCCTAGTTACGTATTTTGTACCTCACTTGATGGCCACAAGACACTGGCGCACAATTTTATTCTAGACCATGCGAACTCATAATATGTTTCTTGGGTAGATTTGATGAGTATATTTCCCTCCAAAGAAAAGTATGTCATTGTAATTTAAATTGTTCGGGGAAGGTACGCTATTTGGGATTCATGTCTTCAAACGTTATGTTTAAAAAAGATATCGATATCGGTAATGGGATTTTAGAATATTGCACGCTTGTGCCACAAATTCTTCTGACAAGACAAAAATAAAGCTGTCTTTGTTGCTTCATAGTGTTTCGTTTTATCCATCCTCTAAGGTTTCATATCGCAACACTATTTTTGCAAATTCCTCGTCAAAAAGTTTAATAAAGTGTGTTTTTATCTTAAATAGTGTAAATTACACTATGGATTAATAAAACTGGCATAAAATATTCTTGAGATTTGTCAAATTGCAAAGCGTGTTCTTATTTTGGATGATATAAAACTAGTTTTGATATACCTACTTAATGCTAATTTTGAGGATTTTGATTATTTTAGACCTCAAAAGTAGGAAAGGTTCAAACATACCAAATGTTAAACAATATAAAAGTGTATATACGTACAATTATACAGGTCACACTCAAACACGCAAATAAAAGTACCCAATAGTATTATTTTCGGTTTTGCTACACATTGGAAATGGAAACTATTTTTCGGATCAAAACAAAGAAGTCAACTGTGACCATGAAACCTGTAAAGAAACCGAAACGTTAATTCGTTTGAAAAAACAAATATACGCGATTTAAATCCGAAAGAAATAGTTTTATTTCCAATTATTTTGAAATACCCGGAATAATGGTTCATTTGTTAATAAAGGCATATCCATATTGTTACCGTATGACGCAAGTGGCAAAAATAGCTCTACCTGCTCCGATTACTGGTAATAGGTACACCTTGCTTCTCATAAATCTATTTCTATAAACATTACTCTATTACTCGTAAACCAAATAACTTGCATTTTAAAGATAAATAGTTTAACGTTATATACTCAGGAATAATAAAAACCTCTGAAAACATGAAGAATGAATGGATACCAAATTATTGACTCTAATTATGCAGCTAATTGATGACTTAAGATCCCCGAAAAGAATTAGCAATGCCAATTGACTTTTGAACGTGATATACTGATTAACGAAATGAATCAAGTAACGTATGATTCATAGTGTCGTACACTAGAGTGACGTTATAGATGCTTTGAATTATAAAAATCGTTTCAAACTGACTTTAATGAGGAAGCTTTTAGTTCGATTCGTAGGTATGTTTTTTTATGTACAGGTACGAATACTCCAAGAGACCATTATGGATTTGAATCGCACTTATTTAATTGCAATTAGGTACCCCACTTTGTGTCGAATGTGCGGTTTTTTTGCGTTACGATTTCGATCCTCATTTTCAGTGGCGGATTTAAAATCTTGGCGGCCCTAGGCCTCAGGCCATGTAGTCAGTACCAGCATCCGTTCAGTAGTTTTCGAGTTTATCGCGATGAGACAGACTGACGTAGTAATGTAGTGATCGTACTTTACATTATAGTAGATATATAACATATCTATATTTTATAAAAAATGTACGAAAGTGATTTAGGAAGATTATTGTTATACAATGCGGCCCGCCCTAATGTGCGTGAGCCTTTAGAATATTTAGGTACTTTGAGTTATTTCTTGTTATCGTCATTGAATTTTTTGTCACGATTGGCCGCCCCTACAATCTGGCCGCACTAGGCCCGGGCCAAATGGGCCTTATGGCAAATCCGCCACTGCTCATTTATTTTCAAAATATCGAACGCATGTACGTAATGTAGATAAAAAGTACAGCAAAATGTCCTGATTTCGTAACTCCAAAGTACACAATTGTAAGTAGGTATGTACTCTATGTCATGTTATAATAAACTAATCTTGTTTTAAATGCACGTTACTGAAATCGCTGAATGTACATTTCTATTTAACGATGTTGTTTGTTTTTGAGTGAGTGCAGACCATTAATGGCAGAATTTAATCGCTGATGACATCCGTTTATAATGAATCATAACTATCATAAGTCATAACTATCATAAGTCATAACAAGCGATTCAAATGGAATTTATGTTGATTTCTTAATGTAGGTATTGCAAGTTAGTGAGTGAATAATAAATAAAATTATTGTGGCTTTAATTTCTCATGCGACTGGGAAAATAACAATATTTGCCTTTAGAGTTTAGCCTTTTCAGTATAGCCCTTAGTGCTTCCTTTGCCCTAAAGTAGGGGTCGCCCAAACAACACAGGCCGTCAGCACGACTCAAAATGCCTGATGGCTGGCTGCCAAATTACTTTACGACCCTGATGTAGGTACTGATGCTAGTATTGATTTGTAATGAAGAAATGTCTTTTACGATGTATATAAAAATGAGCAATTGCTTTTGAAAAATATATGCCTCGCACCTGTCTCAGCTGTTGGTAAGAGCGAGTGATAAGGATAGAATTGAAGACAGACTCGTCCGTGCCCCATTGACCCTCTCCGGCGGCGGCCAGAGACTCCGCGTCGGCCTTGGCGCCACCCTCGTCGATGCCCTGGTTTTCGTCTCGATTGGCCATACACAGAGACACACACAGGCGCTTGAAATGCCCAGAAGTGTCGCCTTTCAGGTCGGACTCTAAGCTCTTGCCGTACACTAAAACAAAATATTTTTACAGACACGGTCCTATGATAATGTAGGTACTTATATAGTAAGTTCATGGTATGTACAAGGTAAAGTACGAAAAACAATATAGTTTTAGCTTCGTCTCGAAAGGTACCTACTTCGAAGTTGTTTCGGGATTTACTTGATTAAGTTTTTATGGGAAGTATAAAAAAAGTAAAATTTGAAATATTTCTACGAAGCCCTGTCGTTTATTCCACATTAAACTGACAATTACGATTCAGACTTTTTTAATCTTGCATTTGCATTATACGCAAAATAATGTTTCCCGAAAATTTTTTTTTTCCTATTGATACCGGAAACCAACCGGAAACGTACTCTGCGTGAGCCGCCGCCACGCGGTCACACATTCTTCTATATTTTTTTAAATAATAGAGTCCGTTTGAGTTTTCAAATAGGTATTCACTATTTTTTAAGAGGGCGGGAACACGATGCTAATCATTTCCAAAATTTAAAATTGATGACTTTTTCAATTCAATTTATATTAATTTATTAATATCAAGCGGAATTTTTAAAGTAAGTACTATAAAATAGAATGACTCGAGATCTTCAAAATGCCCTCTGGTTAATAGGTTTGACAATTCAGTTTGAATGTTCGCTTCAACTAAGTTGTGCGTTTTTTGTAATTTCTTGCAACTTCTTAACTTTCTTAAAAATAAAATCACGAAACATGACTTCCGTTTTTTTTATGAAAATGTATCGGAAAATTTTATCAAAAAAGTTCCGGTTTCACATGGAACAAGCGCTGCGTTTTAATTAACTATCAATGTTAATTATTTAAAAGCCCCGTGTATCGCTAACCTAAACTAAAACACTAGACGATTATAACGTGAGTTTTATGGCGCATAGTCGATTTGCATTCATAGCGCGCCGTCGTCATGCTAATAACCTTCGTGCGTCCTAATTACTCATGGACAAAGTTAAACAGACACTGAGCTATTGAATAATACCTATTCTGAGATCACCGTCATCATGAACCCATATACGTTTCCTCTAAATAGAGCCATCCTGGCCTACCTAAGTCCGCTACTCTGGGCCTCCAAGTCTGTTAATTTTCTTCAAACTACTGGCTATTGTAATTTCATTGAGACTCCACTGTCATTAGGGAGTGGTGCAGATGCGTACACTTTTAACTTTTTAATTTTGGGCTACTAAGTGAAATTATAATTCATATTTTTTCTACCTAATTTTCAAAAATAGCATTTAATAATTGAAATATTTTGATTTTAACAAAAAATGGGAATTGTCCAATTCTGTCCCACCTGTGGTGTACTTCGATACATCGCTTTGGGCACTTAGATGTGTGAATCAACGTAGTGTGCCATTCCTGGCGATCAACTGTTCATAAAGTATGACGCTATATGTGCGTCAGCACTTGCTAGATCAAGACTTCTTTCTAGGGCAGCATTTGAAAAGTGTTCTTTGTAATGTAGTCTTGGAAGTACAAATTCAGGAGGAAGAGCTGACTATAGCGCAAAATGTCACTAGTTCACCTCTATACAAAAACTTGTTAAAATAGTTTTACATTTTTCGTACAAAATAACTAATAGGAGCACTTTGATACATACCAAACTGCCCCACTCACTAGTGTATACAAGTACCCCATCGGCTAGTTTAAAAAAAGAAAATAAATTTTTTTAAATCTTTATATATTCTCTCAGTCACCTGCAATTCTAGTTATTGAAAACACTAGTTTACGCTGTATTGAGACATAAAACCCTGTGAAGTGAACAAAACTGCAGTGGCACTCGTATTTGTGTCGCTTGTTTTTTCAGTCAACGGCTGTGAAAACACTTTGTGACCTGTCGAACGACAACGGCTAACTGGTGAGGCACAAATTCACGTTTTAGCATTATCACAACTAATATTATGTTTAAAGGTATGGAGATAATGCAGGTGTAAAAAAAAAGTGTATGAATGTGCCCCCTGTATCAAACTGTCCCGCTTCCCTCTATATTACAATTATGATAATATTTGTTCGTCATCATCAACCTATACGTTCCACTGCTTGGCACGGGTTTCCTTTTAGACGAGGGTTTTCGGCCATAGTCCGCCACGCTGGCCTAATTTTTTTTTTTTTTTTTTTTTATACCTGACAGGCAAATGACTCCACTCCACCTGATGTTAAGTGGAAAGTGGTATCCAAACGCGAAGGAACCTAGTGCAGCGATGGAATCCTCACTGCACTAGCCGCCTCCACCCTGCCTGCCTACAATATGCCTCTTCACGCCTCGTTTGAAGGACCCCATATCATAAGAGGGAGGGAAGACATGTGCCGGAAGGGAGTTCCATTTGTCAACCGTGCGGCAGAGAAAGGAGCCACCGAACCTTTTAGTACGCGATGGAATGCGGCAGGTAGTGAAACGGTGACTACGAAGGCCAGCACGCGTGCTTCTGAGCAGGAACGGGGAAGGGGGGATGAGGTTGAACAGCTCCTCAGAGCACTCAATGTAAAAAATGCGGGTTGGAGAGTTCACACGTTTTTTTCCGAGGTTTGTGAACCTTCTTCGACGTGCAGGTTTCATCACGATGTTTTCCATTACCGAAAAGCTCATGACAAATTTCAAATTTAATTTCGCACATAAATTCCGAGAAACTCAGAGGTCAGCTCGAGCTCAGGACCCTCTGGATGAGAGGCAGTAGGTCAAATCATTATTAGGCTACCACGGCTTATCAATATTTGTTATTCTGCTAAAATTTAGTTACAATGGCAGTTGAGTCTCAATAGAATGTCAGTGGAAAGGCAGTGACGGATTTCATTCAATTATTTACGATGATTGCCTTTCTACAACCACCATGGAAATTACTATGGATATATTATTTTTTATGCCGTTTAACAGCAATTAATTTTCATAACAAATATGTAAAATATTAGTAAACTAGTCCATCGACTCGCCATAGAAGAGCAGAATACCAAAAAAATTCAATGGCTGTTGAATAGTAGCTCGAGGGCTACCCATTGACAAGCCACAATTCTTAATTTTTAGCCCAATACCAAATGTACAAAATCCTGAAATTGACTCTATCGACACACAACTGAGATGGTTTATAATCAACAGACTTGGGACGGGACCGTATATTGCGGGTTGGGAAACTTCGACACGTTTCCAAGGGCTGAGTTTGATTTTGGTTGCCTCTCCCGATCGGAAACTGAGTCTCTTCGAGTCGAGGCGCATAATTGCGATTCACAACTGGCCGATCGGAAACTTTTTACATTTCAAATCGGAACAATAGTTGTAGTAATTTAACTCACATATTAGAAAGATATAGTAGGAATCAGGTTTATCTTCTCGCTCGAAAGGCTATCTGATTTCGAGACTCGGATGGGCTACCCGATCGGATCGATTCCTATTTGAATTAAAATCAGCCTGCAGTTGTCCTGTTGTCCTTTACTGTTAGCGAGAGGTATAGTTACTAAGCGTCCACAAATGTACGTAACTTTAAAATTAACTTACACAGACCTTAACGTACAGACCTCAGGGATTCGATCTTCTCAATTCAGAAGCATCCGTTCTCCCCTTGATTTACAAACTATTATTCATTTTGATATAAACAAAATGTATCTACTTTGATAATTTATATCACTGAAAAACCAGTTACTTTGTGACGTCGTTTAGCATTTGTCGTTCAATCAAATCCTTACATTATATTAATAATTTTAAAAAGGCTATGTGGACCTACGCAAATAGGACCAAACCCCAGCGGATGTTAAACTGTTTACCGTACTTTTCCCCTCAAAAATTTTGGGAAATTTTATGTGGCCTAGGAATTATGTATTAGAGATGTACGTGGCGATTTTTCCCCGAAAAACCTTCAGACGCCTACGGTTTTACGGTCAGCGTACATTTCTAGTAAGTGCTGTAAAGAGACTTGCTTGCATCTTTACAAGAACTTAAAGTTCTGCTGGTCAAGTGCTGAAAAGGAACTATTTACAAAAAAAGTCTTCGTACAGGGTCTAAAAAGCACGTCACAGCAAATTTGACCCTATGCCTCTGACGATAACGACGATAGAAGACTAAAGTGTCAAGCTTCAGGTGATTTTCATAGTACCTTCAAAGAGGCCGCAAAAAGCAACAAACCACGACTTGCGGCTACAGCGACTTTGTGCGCTTTTTAGTACCAAAATCTTGGCCACGAATTCATTTAAGAGATTGTGTAAGAATACTTACGTTGCTCATAGAAAGCAGAAATGGTTCGAATGCCGTAATTAGAAAGTGTGCAGAGGATCTCAATGATGGCTTCCTCGTCAGTGCCAATTCCGGCGACGGCGTCGTGGAGTTCCTTGGCGTAGAAGTGAGGCAGGGGGGTCATCAAAGCGATGATCACGTTCTCAAGGTTGCCGCTTAATTCGCTCTTGAGCTCGCTTATTAGATCCTACAAGAAAATAAAAATTAAATCAAATTAGAAAAATTTGTAAACGGCAGGTATACTTTGTATGACAAATTTCGCTGACAAGCAACACGTAATTAGATCCGTACATACGAGTATCTTAAAATTTGTGCACTATATAAAATATATTTAAAATTAATTTAATTGGAATTTATGAAGGCGTGACCATGGCGTGACTCATAAATGTTGTACAATGTTATCAAACTAATATGTATTCCAAGTAGTAAATTTATTTCTGTTGTTGCCACTATCACAATGTGTGGTGGTGGATGGCTCTAACGTATTTCTAATGACTCAGAATAAAGAATTCGCTACGCCGTTGGAGCAAATCGCTTACGCTTGCGCATTAGCATTTGTTTTACTAAGGAAATGGAGTACACCAAATTAAATCACAATAACTAATATACCATGATTGACTTAATTATTAGTACGTTTTGTTATAAATCACAATAATTAATAGTTACTAAGCGGTACAGACTGCAGAATATCAGGTGATATCAATTGACAGCCACTACATATCGCAAATACGTGTAAAACTCCATACCGTCGCTTTCGCTCCATACTCTGGCTTTCAAGTTATCGATAACGATATAAACATACTTCACATTAAAAACAAAGATTTGTAATAATCGTATAGAGAAATTCGTGACGTCTGCTTGCTCGATATTTCTGTAGCTCTGTTCTTAGAGCGGTTGCCCTGGATTGGCATTCAGACATGTTCGAGTCCTGTTAGATCTTAAGAATTTTCCTTTATGTTTGATCTTTGTATTAATAATAATAACAAACTCGTGGAGTAATTTCACAGCAATTAATGAATATCACGGTAGTAAAACATCATAATATTTAACTGCCTCCGTGACACGCAGAGGTTTCGAGAGAGAGAAATATTTATATGAACCATTTGCACTGAAACGACGGATCGTGAAGACAAATTGTCTTATATAAGGGGACCTTCATACGTTTCAACAGAACCTTGATTGAATACCGTAAAATTATTCCAGAACCCTTTTATCTATTTGTCCTTCTTGTCACTAAATGTCGTATATGATATTTTTGTCCCAGCTAAATAAGCTTAACCTTACTAACATACAAAAGCGAACATTATTCTCTAATCGTATATGTCTTTTTCATAATAATGAGAATGTCAAGACAGAATGAGTTTGTCATGAGCTACAGCTCAAGATGTGAAGTGCTAGATCGAAAATACCTCGTCATTAAATTTCTGCCGATATACCAGTTATGACGCAGGGGCCAGAGACGATTTGAAGTCATTACTAGCGTTGTCAATCCGCTATCATTAATTTTATTGGGCTATGACACCGGTCTCTGCATTCTATGATGACATAAACGTTTCTTGTTTGCCATTGACTTCTTACAATTATATGGACGTCGGGTCCGCGCTAAAAAGTGTCCGCACTTGTAAGGCGCTAAAATCGTATACAGAGCGCGACACTCCGCTTTAGTCTTCATTTGTTCTACGGACAGCGCGATACTGCGATGACATAACAATTTAAATTTCGAATAGGTTGACTTGGGACATTTTTTTCGTGGTTTTTGGTCGTCCATCTATTTGTAAGTCAATGTTGTTTGCCATATAATATACGTAACACTCATTTCGAATACCAACTGAAAGTTATTTTTTAATCTTTGATACAAAAATATTACTTTCGCAGTGTATGAAAGCTTATACTTTTTTTATTATTTCACTTACGTTTTTCGCTTGCTTGCGTGTCTCGCAACACGCTTACGCAAAGATCTGTCGCGTACGCGCCGGCCGCTTGTTTTGCGTTGGATTTCTTTGCGTTGGATTTCTTTGCGTTGTGTGAGTTTGATATCTAGGAAGCTTGATATTTCCACGCAAGCAACAAGGAACGTTTGCGGAGAACAGCACCACTGCACTGGCTAATCACAGAGCAGCAGCTGCAGGCTTGGCATGAGCCCGAAGACAAAGTTATCTCTTCTTCGATGACAGTTCCAAGAAGATATAACTTTTGTCTTTGAGAGAAAATTGACATTTCGAAGAAGAGATAACTTTTGTCTTCGGGCTCATGCTAAGCCTGCTGGTTCGAGAGTGTCGACAACTCAACCAAAGGCAAGGCGTCGCGCATGCGCGCAAGTCTCTCCGCAACGACAAGCGGAAGACTCGTGAACGCGTTTGCGCGGAAGGCAGATTTCTACGCCGTGACTCAGCCAACGCAAGTGAAACACTCGTGAACCCGGTGAATAAATATGAACTTATAATAAGAAACTATAGAAATGTAAAAAATCCCAGTTCCGAGATTTTTTAATTTTTGATTGGAATACAAAAATATTATTTTCGCATTGTCGGAAACGCGTCTGTCAATTTAAAATTATTGGAAAATATTGATTGTCAAAAATTGCAATTCTAAGTATTTTTTTAAATTTTTGATTGGTATATAAAGTACAAGGTTACTTTCGCAGTGTCAAAACGTGTTTTTCAATTTGGACTTTTTATACCTGTATCAACCAATTTCCAACAAGCCGATTTGATTCATGTTTTATGGATACTTTGCTTACGTGGGTACTTTGTATTAGAGCAGGTGTTCGTGTTATTTTACCACGGATAATTAGATGTAATCATTATGAGCTACTCTTTATTAGCTAGCGGCTTAAAATATCCTCTTTATAAACGATTTTACCTACTAGCGTATGTGCGGTCACTCAAGAAACCACACATAGCTTTTTAGGCACTTATAGGATCTCAGCCTTATGGAGCCTACGCCAGAGTTGGAAGTTTGTGCAAACAACGCGAACATTGAAGTGAAAATGAATTTAAGGAACTTGTCCATAGTTCTATTTTGATAGCTTACGCGTGGTCTTTCTTTGCGGAAAGAATTTGGGACTGTTGTTTAGACACTACATAATACACTTATACCTATGTATTTTATCACTGCACAATAAATTGCTTACCAGTAAACAATTTCTTTTTTTAAACAAAATAAAGTGCGCTTTTGACCTCCATCTCACCTGACGGAAATGACGATGAGGCCGACAATGGAGCATGAACACCTAGACAATACCTATTCATTCTCGCCTTGATAAGGCCCAAATTATAGCGTTCAAGGAATAAGACTGCAGGCATGGATTTCCACTCCATAGCCTTTTGCTATATAAATGCGGAAACGTAATGCTTTGTGCGAATCCTTGTAATAACCACAACATAGGGATGCAACCCAAGTCGATAATGATGGAAAGGCTGAATTAAATCGTGCAATTCCATCGCATACTATCCGTGATATTTTCTGTAGAATAGATAAGCAGACAATTTTACGGCGGTGTTCAAGGCTGTGCAGCCTCACCTCTACTAAGCCCGAGTCACCCATAAGTCTCTTGTCACGCTTGTCAAGTGAATCCAAGGTGGTTGCCAGTTAGTTATGCATGTGAGACTTGTATTATTATATTTTACAGCTACTTGTATGTGTGTAAATTATATTAGAAAATTATTATTTAATTAGAACACATGCAGATTCAAAAGCACGGTAAAACTAAAGCTGTTTCAACAAAACACGAGTGTGTGTTTTTTTCAATCTAATTAAACAAAATGTAGACTCCTTACGACAAAAAGCTTTATTCGGGGACTTTTTAAGATACAAAAAGACAGGAAGGACAAGCCGTTCGCTTTTTGTAAGCGACACGCCTGTCCAAAACAGTCGCAATGCCACTCAGAGCTTTATATCTCAAAGACATTAGGGGCACTGCCCTGCCAGTGCGACTGTCGGTCTGAGACATAAGTTGACAATTCCCATGTGCCGGGAATTTCACCAGCACTCTTACCCTTCAAAACCCGAACGCAGTAATGGTAACATTACTGCTTGGCGGTAGAAATAGGTAAGGTAGAAGTTCTTCCCTGGACGTATTCTTGCACAAGGAAATCTACTGCTACTATAAATCTGTCTCGAAAATTACGGGATTAGTACTACTCGTATTGTGGATTCCATACATTCACACATTATAAGCATAGGGTGTGTTCGACCATAGGGACCTATTTTCACAATTGGCCATTTGGAGAACTAGCCATTTCAATAATTAACCGTTAAAAAAATAGAATTCGTCATATTTATTACAATAGGAAATGTATAAATAAAATTGCCCATTACCAACAGGAACATTTAACTTTTGTACACAATTTTCCTCTTTTGCAACGAGTCCACTTATTTATGTTATTAATAGTTTCTACTACACTTGTTTAGATAAAAAGTTAATTAATACCTAAATATTAACAACTCTCAGTACTTTTTGATAATGCATTGGTTTAAATTGTATTTTTTGGATTTAAAATATTGTTTATCTACACACATCATAAACTCTATATACTGTGTTCAAAAACCGCAAATTACGATCAGCTTAGAGGTAAACTGTTTTGTTAGAACAAATTCCTTATCTGTGAAAATGTTGTTATTGCTCTATTAATAACGTCGAATTTCGAACATCTCTGAAAAACAAAACAATTTTATTAGACCTCAATTCTAATATCAGTCGAGGTGAAGTTTTATTTGAATTGAAATGTCAAATTGCAAGTAATTTTGACAATTTCACACGTTACTTCATAACGAACGATATGATAGTTATATATTGGGGCTGGTTCTAGTTTGTCTATGAATTAAAAATAAAAACTACGGTTGTGTGACATGCGGGAGAAAAGTTTTTATTTGCCATTTCGCCAGTTCACTGAGTGTGAACACATCACAGAGAGCTTATAATATGTGTGTAAATAAAGCAGTGCATGTAAATTTACATAATTAGGTATTAAAACACTCGTGAGATGATTTAAGAAACTCGTCGATACTCGTTTCATAAACCCACGTTCGTATTTTAAAGCCTTTCATTATGTAACAGTCATATAAACTACTATTACTATGGTGAACGAAAATTTATTAATGTTCTTATACCTATTACGTTTCTAAGCCATTAGTTGTTAATGAATATTTCTGTAGATACTAGATAGATTTGTTACATACGTCGTC